AAATGAGTAATATTGATGGAATGGAGAAAAAAAAAAAAAAAACCGCAGTCCATTTTTTCTTCACAGACATCAGTCTTTTTTTCTAAAAAATAAAGCTCAAATTGAATAAATAAAATCAAATTGAATAAATAAAATCAAATTGAATACATATGATGATAAAAAACGTGATAACGAATCAAAACGCTATAAATTTAACACATTATTTGTAAAATATTGAGTAAAATTAATAGAATGGCGGAAAAAAAAAAAAAAAAAACGCAGTTCATTTTTTATTCACAGACATGTCTTTTTTTTCCTAAAAATTCAAACTCAAATTGAATAAATAAAATCAAATTGAATACATGTGATAATAAACAACACTATAACGAATCAAAAGCCTAAAAATTTAACATATTATTTACAAAATATTGAGTGAATTTGATAGAACAGTGGAAAAAAAAAAAAACGCAGTTCTTACCTGTTTTTTCGTGCACCCGTGGCTTCAAATTCAAATTATGAACAAAAACTTTTGAACAACACTCTTGCGATCAATAACCCTCAGATTTTACAAAAAATGATGCCCTCTTTTGTTTGAAATCAAAGAAATGGCGGAACATTAAAACTTTTTTAAGGTTCTTCACATATCCAAATTTTTTTGATCAAAATCGGTGATTTTTACTACCTTTTATTGACTGAAATGGCTGAAAAATTTAAAATAAAGCCTGCAAGATTTGATTATAAAGCTGAAAAAGATGAAAAATGATAAGAAAATGACAAAAAACCATTATAAAGCTGAAAAAGATGAAAAATGATAAGAAAATGACAAAAAACCATGAAAATCGTGAAGAACACTGTGCAGCCCGTGTTCTTGGACGAGTCTCAACAGTGACTCGGCGATTCACTATTGGGAATCGCCCGGTTCACTCTAGACACGGGCGATTCTCGGTGTTGTAGTGGAATCGGCACGGGGTTTACCGATTCTCGAGTCGAACTGGACGAGTCTGCTTCGACTCGTCGAGTTTTCAGACCCTGGTTAGGACATAGACCCAGACCCAAACCGATTGGGTCAGTCCGGTTCGAATAAAAAAGCCTAGAACCAAGTTGGGTTCTGGTTGGGTTCAATTCCATGTTAACAGGGCCCGACCCAACCCATTGATACCCCAATCCAAATGATTCCCGTTTTTGGCATAAGGCCACCTTGATCCTTGCCAATGCCGATCCGGATCGGAGTTTTAAAAAACGAATGACGCGCTGAAGCACAGTTCCAGTAGAATATTCGTTGTGGCTCGTGGTTCTCAAATACCTCATTCATAGCTGATGGGTAATTCGGTTTTCCAGGTTTTATGTGAAACGAAGAATACAGCGAGTGATATCCCGCCCTTTCCCTCCCTTTTTCTCGCCTTCAAACGGAACTCTTCCCTTCCTTAATCCTTTCAATTGAATGGAGAGTGTATTGTATTCTACCTCTCTCTCTCTCTCTCTATATATATATATATATATAACTCATATAATTTTATTTAATATTAGAGAAAATGACTTTTACTCCCTCTCTGAAACTTCCATCCCGACTAGCTCATTTGATTTATCAAAATCTCTTGTACCCCTCAAATTAAAATTTTTGAGATGGTTAGCCTCTACTTGTATTTTTCTTTGTTTATTTTTTTACAAAATTGATCTTTTTATTTCATAATTTTTTTTTTTTTTTTTTTTCTCTTCCGTTGCCTAAAATCAATCTTACCTCCGTGGATCCCACTTTATAAATTTAGACATGCAAAAAAAAAAATTGCTTTAACATCATGACCTATTTTACAAGAAATTTCTTTAATATCGTTTGAACTTGAAAAATGATGAATCGAGATATTTATTACTATTGTTAATGGTTATTATTATTTATTTATTAAAGAACTTTATCAAAATACTTATAAGAGATGAAATATTTAACGAATAATATATTATTGTTATTATTACTATAAATTATTATAATTAATTAATAATTACAATATCAAGTTACAAAAAATAAAGATGATTAATATATGGATTTGGTATTTTAGTAAAAAAAAAAAAAAAAATAAGAATGCTGATGGTCCTGAAGTTTAAGGCCAGGGGGTTGATAGGAATGAAAATTTGATAGAGAGGGTTAGAGATCATTTCCCCTTGATATTATTGCATTTTTTAAGTTACCCCCCTTTCGCTGCCTTCACGAATCCAAACTCTCCCGTTAAAAATTACCCGCCGAGCCTCACACCTCAATAATCTCCTCTCTCTCTCTTTTCAATTTCAATTCCACTCCGCCAAATCCCTTCTTCTTCCGATTTTCGTCTCAAACCTCCTACTCTAGCTAAGACTGGAACCCAAAAAGCAAGAATTAGGGCAGTTGCCCTAGTTTTGCCATTCCCCCCCTTCTTTCATTACCTTCTCTCTCTGAAATCCCTTTTGAACAATTTGCCAGAGACAGAACAGATGATGGCTGAGATTGATTGAGTTCAGGCTGCTTACTATGCTCGCAATTCGCTTCCTCTCCCTCTTTCATGAGAGTTGAACTGCCTGCCAATCCAATTCATACCTAAATCCAAAGGAACAGTTCTTATGCTTCTCTGTTTGCTGCTACTTGTGTAGGGGAATGGGTTTCAACAATTGCTTCTCATGTCTCCGAAATGTCATTTGTTGCTGAGAGTGTTGTCGCAAAGAAGCACCCCCTGCCAATTGAGTGTGTTCCGGTTGCTGGCTCCTTAACATGTCTACCTCACTTGTCCCTTCTGCTCATTCCACTAACCTATTCCTTCCCGGAAGTATTGCTTTTGGAGACGCCCTGTAATTGTGTTTTCGATAGTGACTTGAGATGGGAAAGGGGCTGGGTTCATGGCCAAAAGAATCAGCATCAGAACCAAATAAGCTTATTATTATTAGCATTATTAGCCGTTGTTATTGTTGGGTTGGGTAATATGAGCAGGTTGTCGTTCAGGCCTCGTCCTCTCGACATCCATAAGAAGCTTCCAATTGTTAAAACTCTGAAGGAATTCGAAGACGATGAGGTCGTCACTGGCACCACCACACGCAATTCGTACATTGCTCGCCTTTCTCTCGAGGCTGACAATGAGGTGATGCATTCCCTTTTTTCTAGCATTTATTTTGAATTTGTTATATCATTCCATTAGAGAGGCAAAAGAGTATTTGGAACTTAATCATTTGCATGCACTTCCATACGTGTGGATGTTTGTCACAGTTTGAAATGATGCTATTCTTGTGCATGCATTGCACTTCACCTTTATCTTATTTTGGTTTTCCTCCGCATAAGTGGCTCTTAGTCTGAGTAACTACAATGGCAAGCGCCTTTTCTTTTGCATCACTAGACTAGCGGGGGTTTATATGGGAACCTAACCTGTTATATTAATCTGAATTTTTTGAACTAATATATGTACCATTGGCCCAAGACTATAAAGTCTATGGTTTTCAGTCCAGTTGTGAGTCTGAGTACTAGAAATCACATCATGGTGCCTAACTCTATACTCTGGATTAAAATTTTCTACTATGTAATGTGGTATTGATTTACATTTCATTTACTTTTGGCAAGGATATACTCGATCTTTGGAATAGAACCAGGTTTAAGACCATCCTCTTTAGTTATAAAATATATGGCTTTAATTTGTGCTCCCATGCTCCTCAATTTGCGAATATGCGCACCTATTAATTGAGTCAATAATTCAAGTAGTTGGTAATTTGCAAGGAAAAGAGTTACCCCCCCAAAAAAAAAATATGAAAACAGAAAAAGAAAAAGAAAAAGAAAAAAGGGTTGCACACTAATGGTATGTCCGGCATGTTAAGGGATTGGGTACGCGTTGTCATGAGGCTACCAAGTTAGTGTGGGGAATTAGAAATCTAAGTGAACTCTGTCATAATTGTTGGTGTTTGAGATCATTAGATTCTTTTAGCAGCTTGACCAACTTGATGGCGCATATTCATTATGTTTGTTGATAGCCAAAATCACCATTCCTATGTTGTCCAAAAAAGATTAAAGGTGTTATGGTCTTTTAGGTAAAAGAAATATGATATTTCTCCTGGAGCAAACAATAAACCGTAGTGAATAAATGGTAGCAAAGAGACATAATATCCATCTGTTTGGGTCACCCTTTAGGGTCCTAAAAAGGGATCTCCAAGACGGAGATGGGTTCTCTAGGAGAGAGAGAGACGGCCTCATAAATGTGTGCATTTTTTCCATGGGGTTTTGGGTTGATAATTTCCTCTTCTTCAAAGTAAAAGTTTCTCATTTGTTCTCAAGGTTCTCTTTCTAATAGCGGTGCGGCGGTTGGAAAGACGATGATTGATTGACGGTGTTGTTTGTTTGGTCGTGAGGGTGGGTTTAAAAGGGAAAATTAGTGAGGGTTTTACCAATGTTTAGAGAAAGTTATATCTCTTGTAACCCAAAACTGTAGCTTCATTCAATAGTAGTCTTTGTCTTGTTGAGGCCATGGACATCGCTGGGTGAACCATGCAAATCTTTGCATTGAGCCATTAATGCCTCAAGAATTCTACCATTAATGCCTCGCTTTCAAATATGAGTGGAAGGAATGTATAAGCATAAAGAGTGATAGGCACCCAATGTCACCATGCAAATCTTTGTTATTGTCATGTGTTCTTGTTTTGGCTTTATTTCTCTCTCTTGATTTATGGTTGTAAGCATCTATTTTGCATTGAGCCGATTATGTACACGATCTTGGGTAGGATCCTGGTGTTTGGAGTTCCTAGTTCTGCAAGTGAGGGGTTTCCGTGGACCCCACAATATTGCAGTTGTTTCTAGAGGTTAACAAGGAGGATGGTGCTGCCTTGAGCATATAGGGAATGCTACATGGCTTGCATGATTTGACTCTATATAGCATTCTTTATTATAGGTTTCATTGGGTGCCTATCACTCTTTATGCTTTCACATTCCTTCCACTCATATTTGAAAGCAAGGCATTAATGGTAGAATTCTTGATGCATTTTGGTTTCCTTCTATCTAGTACATGTTTATTGCTAGGGGGCAGGAAGACACCCTTGCATTCCGCTCCTTTGCTTATATGAAAAGAGTTTGGAACTGTATGTATTAGAGGACGAGCTCGTGTTTGGTCATTAAGGCATTAATTTTGATGGATTTGTGTCCTTCATATGAGGGTTCATGTTTTATACGTCCTGGTGTCTGAGCATGATGTCTTGGCTATGTGGAAGGATAAGGGGCAATATGATTTTGGGAGATTGATGCAACAAATGCATTTTGTATGGTGGAGTGATCCTCGTGGTGCAAACCATACAGCTTGAGACTTCAGGTCTTTTTCTCTAGCCTCTAACTTTGGCCCTTCCCATTGCAAATGTTGGTGCTGCTATTTTCCATGGCGACATTGGAATGCATTGAGTGTGGTGTTCTTGCCATTGTCCGTGTCTGAACAAGCACAAGCCAGGTTTATCTCAGCATGAAAGCTTCCATTTCTTGGATTGTGACCACCATCGCTCCGTCTTCATGAAGGCGAATACTCTTCCCAGTTTTGAAAGAAAGAATACTGGCTCTCATTGTTGCAAAGAATGAGTTTGGTTACTGTTTTTGACTTGATAGATGATATTTATTATTTATGGAATGCTAGTTTTCACTGCAATTTTTGTTTGCTACCTTATGGTGTGAGCATGATATTTCCCTGCTGCCTTGCATATAGTCGAGACCTACTAGCAACTAATTAAATATTTGTGACTCTCAATTATCAAAAAGGAAATAGAAGCTAATATATATGTTGCAGGCACAACAAGCCCCTGCTAGGAAGGTTGCTTCAGAAATACCTATTCCACAGTTTGTGGTTGTGGATACATATGAACAAGATTATACCTGTACCTTTACACAGCCTACATCATATGTCCATGCACGAGGAGGTACATTAGTTATTTTTTTTATGATTGGATGAAATTTGTTTATTCCTTTTTATTGGTAAAATGATTTGCCATTCTGCAAGATGCTAATTGGTATAACAGCTATGGTATAGTTACATGTGTTCTGCGAAATTACTAAATTTACATCTACTACCTGCAGCCAGATCGGAGGTGGGGGAGTTTGTTGAATATGATCTGGATAATGAGGACGAGGATTGGCTCGAGGAGTTCAATAAAGAAACGAAAATTCTTTCTCCTGAAAGGTAAACTTCAACTGGGCATTCAAAAAATCATACTTTGTCTAGTGCTTCATTTTGAAATTATCCAATGAGCGTGTATCTGTTCTTCCATGTTTATTATTATTATTATTGTTATCGTAATTATTATTATTATTATTGGGTAGGTCAGGTTCTATTGTTGATAACTGTAATTGATGCCTAGGGTTCCAGTGTAAGTGACACTTGACTTAGTGTTGCTATTGTTTTCTTGACAGTTTTTAGAACAATCCTGATAGTGTTCTATGGCTGATCATGCACTCCCGGTAGTTGAGCTGGAGGCTCTTTCTTTGTACTAGAAATTTGCCAGAGCAAGAAATGGCATAATGTTCGATTTTATATTTTTGACAACAAAAAGTGGATTAGTAGTTGGTTTGCATATGGCATGACTCTACTCTACTTCATAATTGGGGAAAATAATGTCATTGTTTCTCCCACAGAGACACTGGAAGTTACTCATTTGGCATGGTAAGTACTTGAGTATCAAATTTCTGGATGGAAGCAAAATTAGAGACACTTGAGGATCAAAAGCTGGCTTTCAGCTTAAATATTTGATGGGATGGCACTTTAATCTTACCCATATTAATGAAGATCCATATTCCATGCCAGTTGTTTTCCATTGAACTCTACAAGATTAGAATATTCTTCAAGATGAGATTAGAGGCTCTAAGTTACAATTGTAGTTTTTTTCTTGTATTGAAACTTGTTATGAGTGAGAGTTAGGATTTATTCTAAGAGCATGCATTATAAACGCTTTTGGATTTTGTTTCATACACTTAGAGGTTTTGCTATGGTTTTGGCCATATTTTTCTTTTGTTTAAGTTGCCAGTCATGTTCTTTTTGTTCAAATATCTTATCTTTTTGTTCTGGCTTACTTATGAGGAACGGGCTGTGATTGCATACTCTATTATTACATTTCACTCTAGGCGGCTTCTAATATTGTGTCAATACGGTTGTCCAATGAAGAAATGCATAGATGGAGTGATTTGCAATAAGAATCTTTTTGAAGCGTATGGGCAGCATAACTTGACTCTATAGGAGTGTGGAGTGGCAGAAGAGCTGCAAAACTGGCTCTAGTTCCCATGGCAAGATAGCAACATTTTTTGTCAAATTATTTGACAGGTTACACGGATCCTCTACATCCTTCATTCATGGTTGGAGGGAGTCAAATCAGCTCACTCCCTTGCTCACGAAGAAACGGCTACAAATTCTACCTTTGTGCTTGTTAAATACAGTTGAGAATGTTGCATGTTTTCTTTTCCCGATATTATGAGTGTCGAGTTCTGTTACACACCACAATTTTGCATAAATCATAGGGATCTTAATATAAAAATCTACTATTTTTCAGAATTGAAAAAGAGTCCTATATTTTTTATATTTTACATCCAAGTCCTTTTTTTTGGTTGTCAAACTCTCCCACAAAGTACCCCATCTTCGCCACTTTGTGTTGAACCGACTTATTTTTTTTTTAACTCAAGAATGTGAAGTGTCGAACTCATTATTTTGAGTGAAAGACATTTTTAACACTTTAAAGTGCCGGACCCATCTTTCACTAAAAAATAATACTAATAAATGTTATTTGGTTTCGGCACTTCAAGTGCTGGACCCATCTTTTACTAGAAAAAACTTAGAAGTGTTATTTGAAGTGCCAAACCCATATCTCACGTTACACTAGAAGTGTTATAAATGTATAGTATGCTCCCTCAGGAGCATACTATCCACTTGCTCCTTTGGGTGAAAACGCTTCATAGGAAGATTTTTTGGGTATGAAATTTTCGGATTCAGTTAAGGATCACTACAAGATAATTTAAACACACACACACACATGGATTTTGAGTTCTTTAACACTTAGATTTGTCTGTCCAAGAATTCAATTGTCTGTGTTCAATTTTAGGACGTTATTTTTTTTTTCAAGCTCACCATTTTTTTTTTTTTAAGTTGGCTGCTAGGTTGAGAAGGATACTTTCATAATGGAGATATCCTTAAACTTCACAGAAAGCAGTGCTACCCCAACACCTTATGCAGGCACTTATCGACACTTTGATATGTCTTGACACATGAAGACACTGCAACCAATAAAAAATAGCTATGGAAACCTCATGGCAGAGCTCAATCTAAAGACCTCTTGGAGGTTTAGTGCCGTATCCAAAACATTACCACTTTGGCACTTCAATTTATGTCTACACAAAGAAGAATCATATTATGTCTATGTGAAAAGTATAATGTTTAATTCAAAATAGTGCTTGTATGGAAGTGTCTAGCCGTGTTAGCATTTTAAGATGAAGTATTAGAACCTTTAGACACATTAGATACGGCACTTGTGTCAATATCTCTTTAACACTGACCGACAGTTAACCACTTAAAGCATAACTGTGCACCTTCACACTTGAAGCAGATAACACCCTGTATTTTTTCCTTGTCCTTTCTCTCTTCACTTGTCTGTTAGTTGGAGTTCATCTACAATGAAGGCAATCATATTTAATTTTGTTGTGCCGTTGTTTAGTTATGTAGTGTTTGGAGTTTTTAGTTTAACTTTGATTCCTTTATTGTTCTGCATTTGCAAATACTCTTTTAGTTTAACTTTGATTCCATTGTTTTGCATTTGCAAAGACTCTACAACATAAACATTGTTATACCTTTCCCTCCCCAGTCTTTATAGTCCCTACTATGGGAGATTTTTGTAACTTCATAGTTTTCTCTCACCTGTTTTAAAGCTTTTTGTACAGGGCTGCCCCTTAAGGGGTAGCCTCTATACAGTTGTATAGTACTCCTGCCCTATGGGAGTGTTTTGTATATAGATTATAGAGCTCCCGGTTTGTGGGATGCTTCTTTTTTGATACGTACGTAGTCCTCTACCTTCATTACAATAGAATACAACAGTTAACTTCTTCAAAAAAATATTTTTATGTCTTTATTGTTTGCATTTGCAAAGACTCTACACTATAGACTTTCAACTATTGTAGTGCCTGGGCAATGTTTTGAAGGTCAAAGAGTATCGTGTGAAATGTTCCTTATTAAGAGCTTGCATCTTACAAGAACTATCTGATTTGTTCTTCAAAAAAACATTGTTATGCCTTTATTGTTTTGCATTTGCAAAAACTCTACACTATAGACTTTTAACATTGTAGTACCTGGGCAAATTTTACTGGTCAAATAGTATCCTGTGAAATGTTCCTTATTAAGAGCTTGCATCTTACAGGAACTATCTGATTTGTTCTATTTGTTACTACAATACCTGGTATTCTGAATTGATAGAAGTTAATCTAATCTTTCCTTGAATGTATAAATTGTTTCATCTGATTTCTGCTCCCTATTGTGTTGGTTTTTCTTATAATCTCTCTCCTTATTGCTGCCATACATTACAATCATGTTTTTTATGCAGGTTAGAGAGTCTCCTATTCAAGTTAGAGATTTTGGACCATAAGACTAGGGAAAGAGCAGGAGTCATAACCCCTCTTGGTTCACCTGTGCCTGTTCTCCTCCAATTGGATGCTGCTGCCGAGGTCAATTTTTTATATGTGCATAATTTGTCTTCTTCTTTTTCTTATGCTCTACACCATGTACCTCGTACTGAAATTTGTAGGCGAGTAAATCTAGGGAGTGGTTATTCACTGGGTTCATACAAAAGCTTTAGGGCATATTCTAATCACATGGCTGAGCTGAATCATTTTTCAAGAATATGTGCATTTGAGCATTAGCCATAGAGTGATAGTGACATTTCATCAGGTCATTTGATTTGCTTTGTTGTGATGCCAATCTCATTAACAAGAGCAGGAGCTGGCAGAGCCTCACATATTGTTGGGAAGATTTCTTTTGATCTACTTTTTTTTCATATAATTATAAAATTTATATAATTAGCAATACATTTTATTACTAAAAGCTTTTGATCTACTTAGACACTCCTTTTTTTGATTTTATTTTGGTTTATCGCTGTCCTTACTAGCCGCCGAGGAACTTGGTATGCACCTATTAATATAATCAGAAGTTAATTATCACAAAAAGGAATAGTGGATTTTCATATGGAATCAATTAGTGTCTTTGAATCTTATATTTTTCTATGCCAGAAATGTTCTCAAGAAATCTCACTAGAATACATGGGTTAATACTTTTTATGTAGCTATCACTAAGTCCTTTATGTTTTAGTCTGTATCATCTGTTTGTTATTAAAAGCAGAAACAGATGCCCCCAACGCTCCTAAATCGTTTTTTTTTTTTACTGCTAGCATCCATCTGGTTGGGGTTTATCTATGCAGTTTTCTGTTTTATGTTGTTGCTTTTGCTTGGTATAAATCTTTGAAGCTGAGGTCCTAAGAGTTCTAGCTGCGCAGGAGATAAACATTTACACATGCCCACATGTGTGTACACTTGTTAATATATAGACAGATCCAAATTTCATGCTCATCAAATACCATTTTTTAGATTTATGCTTCTCACTTTCACCATCATTATTGGACTCATCTCTGACATTGGCAATTTAAAAAGAAAACACCAAAGCCTCTTAGAGATGCTGAGAGGATAGCATAGACGAGTAACAGGCACTTCGTCCTATGTTACCGCATTATTGTGGTAATGCAGCTTCTTTATCAGATTGAAGACACACAAAAAAGAGGTGGTCTTATAAATATCTGTTAATTTGGAAGGAAGTTTTCGTTCTGCATTCTGTAATCCTGCCATGTTATCAGTACCCTGTAATAATGTACATTTATAGTACAATCTTGCATTGTCTGTGTTGATTCTTCTTTTCCACATCCTGATGGTTTCGTTTGAATATTCTCCTGTTTTGTTTGTTCTCAGGCCTTAGAATCTCAAAATACAAGCTATGGTGTTATCCAGTCTCTGTATAACTATTGGAAAGCAAAGGTTTGTCTTGAAACTGTGAGTTTTCATAATTCAATTATTTGTATATCATTGTATCATATGAGTTAAACCTTTTTTGGTCATTGTTGCTGCTGGAGTGTACTCTGTGTTGATAGAATTAAGTCCTCTTTTTGTTATTAAAGAAAAACAATATGGTGTTTCTGAAGTATCTATACTTGACATTATTCATTATTATTACTATTAGTATGGATACTCATTCCCACTTCTTGCTTTTTATCAGCGAGATCGGTGGCAAAAGCCTATTCTTCGGCGTTTGCAGGTGAGCTCTACAACTTCAGTTTCGATACCATACTCAGTACTTTATATTAAAAAATGCAGTCTTGCATATGACATTTGTCTGCTTGTGCTGTGGTATCTGATGCTTTAAAGTAATAATATTCCATCAACCAATTTCTATAAGGAAAATTGTTTCATGTGGGCTGGACCGCATTTCTTCATATGCGGTCCGGAAAGTGTAAAGCATCCATCTTAAAGATGGATGCAAGTAGGTGTTACATCTAAAAACAATGGAAACTAACGGTCCAAATGTTTTCTAACTAGAATTATTGTTTCTAGTTTTTAAAATTTATTTATTTTTTCATATTCATGATCTCCATGTTAGAGATTACATGTCCTTAAAAGTTAAGCCCCAAAATCCATTTCAAAAATAGATTTATTAAGAAGCCCGCATTTCTATATATGCGGGCTTGGCCGCATAGAAACCGGGTCCTTTCTATAAATGTGGTGCTTTCTCTAAATGGATTAATAACATTGATTGGATAAGTATTAGTATGATAATGTTTTGCTGTATGCACTATATGAAGTTTTAGGAATGTTCTTTGTGCTTATGACTTTTGTTTGCATATTCCTGTCATTTTTTTTGCTTCTTCTGCCATCTTGCTTTCTCATATTCTTCAATAATATTTCCACTTTAGAATTATCCAGATATTAGCATGGGATCTTGTCTATTGCACCTTGGATGTATCAGATTATAGTAATACACCTCCAAATGACACTGGTGCCTAGTACTATGACGATTATAGCTGCAATCGTGCATATGGTATTTCGGCTATCGTTCAAGAATGGTTTAACTTGCAATATGGATTGGTCATGCCTTGAAATCAATTGTTTGCTTCTTTACCAAATGAAGACCTTGAATAGGTTTAATTACATGATTATATGCTGATCTTTATTGCTTAGGACATGGGAAAATCTATTTATGAGTTGTGGTTGCAATGATTAGCTTTTGAAATTGCTTTTACCATAACTGGTGCATATGTGGTGATTGTTTACAATTTTCAATTTATTGAACTATAATCTCAAGGTCACATTTTCACATATGCAGCCTCCTCCTCCTGTTAATGATACCAATCCCTATAATGTCTTCAGACCGCGGGAGAAAGCGCATCGCCATCACACAAGAAGGGTATGCTTTGGTGTTGTCTTGAACTGTGAAACTGTTCAGATTCAGTTTAGATCATAAATTCTCTTTGAATTGCTGCATTTCTGAAATGAAAATTCAATTGAAGAGTCACATGCTTTTAAGCTTTTTGACATTGTTGCTTGGCTTATAGATGCAGAGGCGTGAGAACAATCTTCAATCCTTTGAAAAGCTTTGTCAGGTAAATGCCTCTTTTCCCAGTTTCATTATCTTATGGAAGTTTGCTCGGGGTTTGCTATTAATGAATTTCCCAAGTTTAATGCCATTTGAAGATTGATCATTATATTTCACTTTTTATTTTAAGCTTCTTTCTTTCTTTTTTTTGTTTTTTTTTTGTTTTTTTTTTGTTTTTTTTTTTGGTTTTTTTTTGTTTTTTTTTTGGTTTTTTTTGGTTTAAAGATGATCATATATTTCAGTTTTGGTCATGTGACCATGGTTTCGGGACTGAACATATTGTACATGATCTGTTGTGAGTAGATGGTTGACAACTTACTGATGATCGAGTTTGTGTTGTGGGGGCTTGAGGCTGACATAATGTTAATTTGTTTCCGGTATATCATTGTGGCGCAGTGACAATCATGATGTCTGGTTTTTTGCAACCAGTCATACTCTTATCTATTAACAAGTTTTATGCTGTCTTTTTAACTCTGTTTTTTTTTTTTCTTTTTGTTGGGCTATTCTCTTTTCTGGATGATGGATCTTTTCCTTTAATCATATTGTGAATCTTCTGTTGCATTGCTTATAATTGGCAAACATGTTTTCCTCATTACATTTTCTGTTTTTCAACAAAATTTTCTTTAGGACCCAAAAGAGTGGCTTTGATTGTCATATTTGTAGCAATTTGTAGCAACATGCTCGAATTGGTAATCTGCTGCTAGTAATGAATTTTCAAACCTGGCTGCTAGCAATGAATCTCCGTACCTGGCTGCATCTTACTCCATAAAAGGACATAATTTATTTTCCACATAATTTTAAATTTTTCTCTACAGAAATCCATCGAATTAAATTGTCATTTTATCTTTGTCAGTTGATATAATTTAGTGCATGGTGAATGTCATGATCTGGTTCAGGTCAGGCGCAACTTCAATCAAGCCAAGGCATTATTGGAAGCTTTGATAAAGGTATTTATATGTGAACAATGTGGCTACTAGAAAAGGTTTAGCAATAAAGAAAACATTGGGCTACTTTCTAAGATGTTCTGTTCCTTATGGAAATTGTCATCGCAGAGAGAAGAGAAAAAACGGGAGGTTATGGAGTGTGAAGTCAACCTTCAACGGATACAGATCAAATATAGGGTACCAACTCTTAATTATGTTCATATTCTACTCTTTGATTGCATCCGTGCTTATTGTAGCATTTAAAGTTCACATTCTAGTTGTGGTTGACTTTCATGGTAATGTATGATGGTTCTTTGCAAGTATCCATCAGGTGCATAGTCAACCGTCTATTTTGTTGCATGTTAAATCTAGAGTTAGATAATTGGTTTTTTTTTTTTAAATGCTCATCTAGTATTTTTTGGACCACCCAAAAATGGGCCCTAAACAAATCCACATAAGAAATCCATTGGAATCCTTTTTTTTCTGAAAAACGGCCCCACATAAGAAATCCATTGACTTCAAGATGTATGTATATAATTAAAAGAGATTTCAAGTCCTAAAAGTTGTACATCTTGTGATGCATTATCCGGACTGCTCATTTTCAAGATTTTCAAATGTCTATGGATCCACTTGACCTGCACCATTTTTGGAACGTTAATTTTATAATTAGAAATGAAAATAGATTTTGGGGTCATAAAATTTCCCTCACCAAAACTGCTCCTTTCAGTAGAATTTGAAGGTGCGCCTTACTTTGATTGTTAAAGGTGTAAGCCTTATACAAACCTTACACATGAATTTTTACGTCCGCTGTTCTAGGACTTTTCATTACTTCACTTTGCCATTTTTTCCAGCCTCAAGAGCATCATCCTCTAGGAATGTTTATGTTCATAATTTTGTATTTTTGTACTATACCTTGCAATTCATTTGTCCCTTTTTACATTCTTTTAAAGAAGGAAGGGAAGGGGGGGGGGGGGGGGGGTGTTCTCTTCGACATTTTGATATTCCCACCGTGTTTACCTGTATAGCTCCCATCGTAATGACAGTACACAGATTTTTATCACAAACTCTATTTTCTGATGGTATTGGACATATGATTTTTGAAACCTAACTCCATCTTTTGTTCCTCCATCCGAACCATGACGTCTTGCTGTGTGATGCTCCAAGTTATAGAGATTGGATTTCTAGGTGTTACGAACCTATTATTTATTTATTCTGTAGATTAATTGCATACCTACACGGAAACTGTTAAAGGTTAGCTTCACTATTCATCCAGCCCTGTTTTACGTATCAATATAATTTGTCATAGATGTTGGCTTCAACTAAGAAACTAATTGCTATTAACTGTTTAGATGAGGAATTTCACGTCGTTCTTATTTTGTTTGTTTTTCATGACTGCTGATATTGCATGCCTTAATTGTGGGGAAGGCCATTCATGCTGTGACGTTCTGGATGCATGAAAGATTACTCATGCTATCTATTATGAACTTGCATCGGACTAATTTTTTGTACCTGTTTATTCTCTTATGGTTTTGCTGCACATTTGCTTTCACTAATGTTTGGGGCTGATTTTTATGCATCGCAAGTTATTGATAAGAGATCTTGATTTACTTTCAGCATCAAAGTCAGCTCTTTGAAGATGGACTAGCATTATCTGGTTTTCCTTCATTCTCTCACAGAAAGGAATCAAGTGAAGACTATTCCAAGAATTTCCCAAATGGGTACACTCCCAATCGAAATGCTGTGGTTCGCAAATCACATGGTGCAGATTCTATGCAAATGATTGGACGCACAAAGAGGGAGCCAAGGAGACCTCTACTTCGCGGCTGTTTCCAGAGAGTGGTACAGCTTTCCTCATTCCTGTTCTCCAAGTCAATACCGCGGTTATCCAAATTACTTAGAAAAACAGCCACTGTTCTTCTATTTTTCTTTGTTACATTTTGAAGTTACTGTGGATCTTTATATTTTGTTGCAATAGTAGTTGTCATTTTGTTAACGTGCATGGAAGTATCATGCTTGTAGGCAGGCACGTACCATTAGACAATATATCTTCTTGCGAGTTATGGCTGAATCCAGGAAATTGGTGGTATCGCAGGACCCACACGAACCGGTACTTCTCTTCGCAAAGCCCATAGATCAAGAAAAGTTAGCGGCTGCTGGAATTAAAAAGCCTTCGGAACCTCCTAACGTGAATGGTGAGACCATACCACGCTATCGTCTCCAAGGAAGGATAGGGAGAGGAGGCCGTATTATATTTGATCGATTGAATCCTATTTCTCGCAATCCAGTCATAGATGAGATGTCATTATTGCCTGCACCATGTCCTCAACATCCGCCACCGGGTTAATCAGGAATGAAAAATCATCAATTTGGTGACACTTACTCTGTACATGTCACCTGAGGTGAGCAGGTGATGAAATCTTGGGGGGAGGGGAACAAGAGGGGTCAATTATCATTTTGAGAGAGAGAGAGAGAGAGAGAGTCCTTGTATCTATTGCCCTGTGGCCCCAGTTGCTTGGTAGTGAATTGGCTGGTGATTTTGGCAGCATATGCAAATGCAGTCTGCCATTACTGTGACCAAGCAATGGTGGCATGTTTGGTATGGACAGTTGATCCCTTTTCTTGACCACACGTATGCCCTGCCCCTCCAATTGTTGTATCATTATTCCCATCGTTGCACAAAGTAACTAGACGTTTTTCTTATCATGTATGGACTTGTATGCTATACTACCTGGCGATGTCCAAACATAATATAAACAACTCCCACAACTGATCGACGAAGTTAACAGGGACCTGTCATTCCTTTGCCCAAAGTCTTTATCAAGGACTTTGTGCAGATGAACAATGCTTGACAGGAGGCTGTTGAGGGAGATGTTTATATCAAATAATTATGTGTGGTTTGCACAATTGTTCTCGCGCATGTGACTGAACTTAATAACCACTGTATTCATGCTTCATGGAAATTCACAACAGTTTTTACTTGACCTCAGTAGGTTCATAAATCTTGATGAATACATAACACAAAAATATGTTACGAGTGAGCAAGCTTATACTATACTGTAGGCCTCTTTGTAAGGTCGGTGTATGTAGATTTAATCAAAACGATCAACCTTTATTAAACGAGAAAAAGAAAAAAAAATCTCTTTTCCATTTCCTCAAGTGAATGTTTGGCCATTGTATTATCCAAGATCAAAAGTGATCAGAGCTGCACTTGTAAAGGACTCTAACGTGACTAATACGACAATGCAGCAGTTGTTATTGATCAAGGGGGAAATCCAAAAAGAACAGAGTCTTTGGTTCGATCAATGAGGAATTGGGACATTTGAATTTCACTAAGATAGTATCATTAGTGGCTGGTTCCGCTTCGAGCCGGCCAAACTAGACTGGCTCGTTGTGCTGAGCGACTGAATTCCTTCAGGTCAGCTTGTGGCGCTGAACAGCTTTGATTAAGCCAATTTTCTCCCAATATCTATAGGCATTTGGAACTCAAAAAGTGCCCAATCATAGAATCTCGCTCTCTCTTTGAGCGCATAGAATCAAAAGTGCCTCTTTTTTTGGTCCAATACAGTCTTCAATGAAGCTATTGGAAATTTTCACAGCTATGATGGCTGATTGGCTGTGGGCGAAGAGCTAAAATCGTGGGGATTTTCTCCCAATATCTTTTTTTTTTTAATTCTATTCAACGTTTTATTAATATAACCTCGAAGATACAAGAGAGAGTCTCCCCAAGACGGGACCAAAAGTGCCCACATAGAATCTAAATTCTCTCTCTCGCTCTCTAAGCGCATGGGTGTGTGCCTATTATTTATTATTGTCCAACATAGTTGTCAATGATTGAGAATTCATCATGTTTGGATCCGAAACCCGAAATTTACCTTATTCAGATCTGGGTATAGATATGATGGGTCGGATTCATATCCAAAATTTAAATGCGAATAGTAATTCAGATCGTATCTGGCTATAAGTGTATTTGATTTGGGTCCGACCCAGTTATTACAAGATTTTACATTATTTTATATATGTAAATATATGTCATTAGTATTTTTTGTTGCATATTATATAGTCAATATATGTGATTGGGCACTTGAGGAGACTCCCAGCTCTCTTGAGTGCCTATGATGCTCTCGTGCTATCACAAAACTTTCGCATGGCCCTAGTGCAAGCTCTTTCTCAATCTGAAGTGTATGAGACCGAGGTTGAGTGAATTGAGGTAGACACTGCAATCCTTAACAGTTGCATGGCTATCACTTTTTTTGATGATGACCTTTAGTTGGGATAGAGGTTTCACAACCGATTTCTCTGTCACTGGTAAACTGCATGCTTATAAGATCAACTAGATCATGTTGGATGTTGGATCCGTGGTGAGCCTTACGTCTAAGAGGATACTTATCCGAATTGGGATAGGGGTTGAGTAGCTTGAGCCGACAAGCTTGATAGTTCAAGAATTTAATCAGTCTGGGGAGAAATTGGTTAGCGTTATCCACCTCAAGCTCAAACTTGGGAACTTGAATGCTTCTACTCTGTTTTATGTTATTGATTCAGACACTTCTTATAACATCTTTCTTGGTCGTCCATGGCTACATGACCATGGGGTGGTTTCATCAATACTCCATCAGTGCTTTAAATATAGCCGAGATGGAAGGCAACATACGGTCTATGCTGATAAAAGATTATTTCCCAGTAGCTTGATCTAGCTTGAAACTCTGGGTTTTGAGTCTATAGAGGTAAGTACTTATTAATTTAGCTTGTTTTTCTTCATTTAATTCTCTGTTTTATTTTTATTTTTTTAAAATTTATTTATTATTAAATTTAAAAACGTTTTTTAGTCAAAATACAGATTTGGAGCTGACGCTACCGGTGGACTAAAAAAAAAGACCGGATTTATATTGATTTGGGATTTTTTTGAACATATAATTCGAGTGACCTCACTTTCTGTACTTTTTTAAAAAATAACTTAGTTTTGGCTAAGATTTGAGCGGATCTCATATAAAAAATCCGCGCATATAAGGCTGTAAACAAGATAACTTAAAATTTTTCTTGAGTTTGCATACTCATGTTTTGGCCCCTCTTCTTTGGTTAAAAAACACATGGTTATGTATCCAAAAAGTTGTGAAAACATGTTTTTATGCAAGATACCCAACATGATTTTGGATACCGTAGGATCCAAACGACAGTTTCCAGAAGTCATTTTCTAAATTGGGGCAAGTAAGCTGTTAGGATACTGCGCGTAGTCGAGGGCCATCGCGTCGGTTTCTATACTGGGGGAAGCGACGAACGGTTCTGCTTTATTTTTTTCTACGATTCCGATTCATACAAGCTAGAGGTTTTCTCTACTTACTCTATTTACCTCATGCATTTGAAGTATTGAACCCTAAATCCCCAACGTTATACAGTAGTTTGTTTGGGGATTTTATGGAAGATGTTTTGCTGATTTTACTAGAATATATGTTCACAAAATAACTTATCTTCTTATCTTTTTTTTTGCATTTGGGCCGCATATTCAAGTAGCACGTATTCTGTTCTTCTTCTTCAGGTTATATTTATAATACATTGTATTCTATCTGATTATATAGTAGTTCAATTTCATTATTTGTTTATTCTTGGCAATATCTGCATCAAGGAGGATTTGATTTTAATGGAATTGTTTTTTGTGCGTTTCAATAAGTGGTTGGGTTCATATTATCTTGTCTCTAGTGAGTCTATTCGTTTCACATCAATTTAACATTATTGGAGCTCTGGTTTCAAGCTAGATTAACTTCAGTTAGTGAGCAGAGTGAAGGTTTTCGATCTTGAATTTGATTAGTTAAGTCGCTGCCTTGAATCAATCTCTTTCTCTTCTCTCTCTGTTTTCTCACTGTAATATATGAATATTATTAATACATCATAGTCAATGGCATCAAAAAGGAAAAAAAAAAGAGAATAATCTCTCTTTCTGGTACTTTCAACTCTAATTTATAGTACCCATAGAGCACTGGGTGCAGGTATTGAGGGCTTTTTAGAGTTCGCATTGTTATGCTGTCACAAGCCGGTGGCCATTTATTTGCTCTTGAATTTTTTGTTTTCGTTTTTTATTTTTTTCATTAAGTGACATTTGAATTGCTAATTAAATTGTGGGTCAAGTTGCATTTTGAAGGGTGGACATTTATAGAGATTATCTTAGTGAAGGCAAAGGAAAGAAAAAATTAATGTCCACCAAATATGGAGAGAGTCTCTTGATGTTCCTCCCTTGGACAGGGAGTCCCCTACATTGATTTGGCGTTTCTCACACAGTGACTGAAAGGGACTAGGCTGCTTAAATCATGGATCCCTTTCTTTAAGTCCACAATGTTCTTTATGTTAGGCACCCAACAGCTATGGAGAGTATCTAATGATGTTGAGCCATCTTCAATCTGCAGAGAACTTGAGAAAACCAACAGATCTCAGTAAGATCAAAGGGCCTTCTGGTTTAGGCCGAATTGACCTTAAGGATGCTTCCTCCATCTGATTGATTGAGGCACCTTGCACCATCCACTTCATTGTAGGTCTCTGTCTAAGGTCATCTTTGGGAGTCACACTCTTCCAATTGTGAACTACTTCATTCTCTCTCCCTTGGAATTCTTGACAATAGGGGCGTAAAATATTATTGGAATCTTTTTGGTTTCATCCTTTAGTGCTTCTGGTTTGAGGGTATTCGTTGGAATTTTTTTTTTGCTATTTTCCTTCGGGATTCCTCATCATATATCTTGGGGATGTTTTCGATTGTGGCTGATCCCCAATCTTAAAGAAATAGGGGGCTTTGTAGCTGTGAAATAAAATAGAAGTTTTGGGGTATGATTTTCACCAAAGCCTTTATATTCATAAAAGACCAGAGCTATTCAATGCTGTCTTATTGGGCTGCTATATATTGAAGTTTTGCATATTTCATGCTCATGTATTGTTTAATTTATGTTCTTTTTGAATTGGATTTTATTATAAATTTAATGCACTTTGTGTATTCTTAAGTGTTTGACTTGTTTAACCTTGAAATATGTGCTGCTTTGCCTTACACCTGATGTTCACCTGAAATAGTTCTGGTAATCATGTCACCGGCGTCATAATGGCGAACTAGAAAATTGAAACAACATCTGTGAGTACCGAGATAGTACATTTCCTATTTTCTAAATGTATTTAAAGGGAGGATGTCCCTTCCTTGTAAAGAGAGTGATTGGTGATTCAGTAAAGAGTTTGATCTTGTAAAAAGATCTTGGGGTGGACTCCCTTGCAGACCTAGAGAAAGAGTATAATCTCTCAGACCTCTTTTTTTTCCTATTATTTTTTTTCTCTCTGCATCACTCTCTCTCAAAAAAAGCACATTCACATGTAAATTCAATGCAAACTTCTTGCCTTGGAATTCAATGCACAGTCAAGAAAGTAACTACATGGTCTCCATCTCCCTTCCTAAAAGCACACTTTTATTCTTCATATCCATTCCTAAACACACTCTTATTTTTAGAGTTAATTAGTGGTTGTTTATTTGAATGAAATACAAGCACCCCTAGACTCCTAATGACGTGGAATCATTTTTCGAGTCAGGACCTTGGTGCTTGTTTTCTGTAACTTTTAAGTTCTTATAAATATTGTCATGATATGGACTCGTGAGCATCCCTGGGGCTTGGGGGATTTTGTCCATTTGTTTGTGGTCTCTAGGTCTTGGAGGGGCATGTTCACAGTTGCGGGAGGTCTCCAAGGGTATTAGATTCAATATGTGGTGTAGAGATAACGAGCTTCATAATTGTTTACTGGGGCTAATGGGACTGAATCATTGAATAATTCATAACCAATACTAAGTCTATGTTACTCATTCATCAAAAAGAGTCTATGTTTCTCATTGCTTTGGGGGCATGAGTGGTTTGGATTATGCTAGGAAGGACCTTTGGGATGAGGAGTTCGTTCAGTTGAGATATTTGGTGATTAGGTTATGGGATCTGTATTCCTTTTGAGAGGCAAGGTTGATAGGATGAATCAGTGTCGATACTACCTTGGGGTTTTTGTGTCAAGTTATCATATGTTGCTCTTCTAGGTGTTGGGGATTCTTCTCGTCTTTTTAACATACGCTGCCATGGGTCATATTTCAAGAGAGGAAAAAAAAAGAAAAAAAAAGGGGAAAAAAAAGAAGAAGAAAAAGCTATGCCAAAGGTCAAGATCTCTATGCATGAATGGATATTCTATATCCTTGCTAACACGTGCATGGTTCGCATGTACAAGAATCCCCATGACTCTATAATGGGATACACATCAAATGACAAGGTAACATCAGAGTAAACCAGTGATTCAAAAAGCAGACTGCCTAGCTCCTAGGCGGTCCAGCGCCCAGGCCTAGGCCGCCAATCTGGGCTGCAGTCCTTGGGCGGCTGCCTAGGCGGTACGGAACCTGCCTAGGCGGGCGCTCAGTGCCCAACCCAAGGCAGCCGTCCAGGGCCTGCGCCCCACCTAGCTGGCCGCCCCGCCCAGAGGCGGAAATTTGTTTTTTCAAAGTTGACAAAAATTGATCAAAACGTCACCCCATTGATATTAGATTTAATTTTTGATGTTTTATAAATCTATTGGAGGGTTTTTTAGAAGATTTTGAGTCCTTAGAAGCATCTTTGACTGGGCATCCTTTTTGGATTCGACTGGGCCGCCCAGGTTCTGGGCTCCTAGGACCCGCCTAGCGCTTTTTGGAACTATGGAGTAAACATCACAATATTCATTGTAACGGAGGGGTGCTTAGCTTACAAACACTATCAAATTTGTGTTTGCTTTGTTTCTTGATAACATTCTAACTCTGGATCACCTTTGATATTAGGGTCTACATGTTCCAAAATTTTGTATGTCATGTATAGGGAGGAGAAGGAGAATGTGGTAACCTTTTCATCCATTGTAGGTTTTTAGTGTTAAACTGCTGGCTTCTTCTACGCATGTTTGGTGCTCTTTAGCTAGTGTAAGGGATGTTTGCCCCCATCCTAAGAGTTAACCAAGCCTTTTCTTGTGAGAGTATGTCACTCTGGAATATGTTGCCTTTAGACTTCTGGGGTTTAGGAGGGGATAGGAAGCACTAGATCTTTGGAGGTCTTGGGGCCTACTCTAAGGTTCTCAGAGATTGGGGCCTTGATCACCAGCTGAGCCCTTGTAAGGAACATTCGGTACACATTATTGGAATTCATGCATCCTAGATTAAGAAATGGTGAGAGTAAGACCTCAATAGGCTTTTTCTTTTTGGGAGAAATGTTAATTGTTGTATTAAATCATAGTGTAGAACAAAAATGCCTCTTTCGGGTTCAGATATAAAAGAAAGAAGTTACCCAAAAAAGGACAACTCAGCCTACAAGATGTAGACTCTTAGAAAAGACCAAGAAAAAGAGAAGAATGGTGCGAAAGAGAGGAGAAAGAGAAAGAGCAGGTAAGATGAAAATGGAAGAGAGGAAGGTGGAGATTCTACACTTTGAAGTTATGCCGGATGGTAGCTCTTTCTTTGGCGAGACTATTTGCCACTGCATTGGCCTCTCTTGGAATAAGATTTAAAGTGACCCGAAGTCCCCTACAAATAGAGTGAACAGGCTAGCCTCCTGGGGAACTGGTCTACTACAATCTCCCTCCGTTAAAAGGGTTTAGGTATTATTTGTGAAGGTGGTTGCTCACTTTAGAACCTCTAAGATGGCTACGATTTCGGCTGTAGTGGAGTCTATGTATAGCCTGAGAAAGACATAATTTGACCGTTGTGATCTGAAAGACTTGCCTCCATACCGCAAGTGTCCCTGGTTCCCAAGGGAAGATCCATCTATATTTAGCTTCAAAGTGCCGTTGAGGGGGGGACCCAGCTTACCCTAGGTGAGGGGACCTTAGGGCAATATAGAAAAAGTTGTTCCAATTGGAGAGGAAAAGTGAGGAACCTAAATTGGCACATAATGACAGTTTCTTTGACCCGAATGCAGTGATAGCTTTGGTACGGTCAAGGATAGAGAATGTTGGTTGTCCACAAGCTCAAAAAGTTCTTGAATTCCTTTCATTCCATATCGTCCATAGAAATGCTAGAATAGTCATCCTCCAAATGTTGCGACCCATTTTGCAGAGCGGCAAGAAGAGGTAGGCTTGAAAGAGTTGCCTCAGGTTCTATGGGTAAATTCATGGAAAATCAAAGAGCTGCACGAGTTGGACCCATAGAGGGGATATAATTGGGCAATGGAGTAGTAAGTCTTTGCAGTTTCCGCGTCCTGTTGGCACATTATGCAATGGGTCGGAAGATAGAGACCCTCCTTTTGACCTGGTTGATGGGGAGGATTTTAGCATGTCCAAGGATCCAAGTGAAGTCCCAGATCTTTAGAGGTACTGGGATAGAGCACATCTTACAGAAAATTGGATTGAAGGGCTGAAGAGGCTGCATCAATGAGTAGAAGGAGGCTGCTGTGATGACTCCGCTGGGTGAAGGACCCCATGTCAGTCTATCTTCCCACTCAAGAGGAACAACGAAAGAGTTCAAAAGTTAGTTGAAGGTCTGAGAGTTGTAGAGCTTTTTTTTCAGATAAGGCCCTTCTAAATGGTGGACTACACACCACCGGGCCTCTATTTGGTCCACATAGTCTCTCACATGAGCAAGTCTGTCTAAGGCTAGGGAGAAGAGGCCCGGCCATTAGTCAGCTAATGTTTGGGTACCTATCCACAGGTCCATCCAGAATTTCATCCCATTCCCTTATTCTACTTTAAATCTGGTCCTAGGGAGGAAGAAAGATCTACTTTTGGCTATGCTGATCCATGCTCGGATCCTCTATGTCTAGGATACTTTGGTAGCCATTCATCGTCGTCACAACCATACTTGCTAAGCACGACTTCCTTCCACAATTAGGCTTCTTGTGTAGCGTATTTCAACCACCAAATTCACATTGGGGCAATGTTAGTTTCTCTTATCCTTCAGCTTTTTTGAGTTTATATAACTTGTTCCAAGCCACAAGGTGAAATTTTTGCCTTTCCTTCTCGCCAGTTCACAAGAAATTTTTCATGAGAGACTGGATGGGAAGTGGAACATTGATATAAAGTATATAGGGAAATTACTAGGGTTGCCTTGTTGAGAGTTATCCTACCCCCCAAAGAGAGAAACCTGCCTTTCCAATTAGCTAGTTTGTTATGGAATTTTACATGACAGTGTCCCCCTTTTCATCAGTTTCCCTATACATAGAGGCAGCCCCAGATAAGTGGAACGCAACTTCGCACAAACACAACCCGGATGGAAGCTTAGGGCCCCCAACTCTTGTTCTTGCACCCTTACCCCAAATGTTCTAGTTCTTTTACAATTGACTCTCATTCCAGTGGATTGCTCGTCGGCTGTCAAAAAGAGCCATAGTTTATCCAGATGGTTTGGCCATCAATAGGCTGTATGAATTTGGAATTTTTTGAGCTAGCTTATTTGAGAACCTTGACTTTATGACAGGAGGCTTCTTTAGAAGTGGAGAAGAATTGCTTTTGAAGGATTTTGTAGGTCTTGTTAGTGTTTGTGACTCTATGAAGTAAAAGTGAATCCCTTCTCACCTCTGTTCTGTTTGTGGAGGGCGACTTGCCAAGGGTGATAGAGTAATGTGCTTCAACATGAGGCTCCAACCTCCTGGGGAAGAGTGGATGTATTCAGGAAGGTTTGTCGATTAGTAATAATTGGATGTCTCCATTCATCATATCCTAAGAGAGATCAATAAGACTGTTGATTCCTAGCTAGAGGGGGTTCCAGGGAGGAGTTGATCGATGGGAACTTTCTCGTGTTCCCTTAAAAATCTTCTTTGTACTCTTTGCTATTTGAACCTCTTGTACATGCTATGTAATGATTTACTCCCATAGAATGATCAAATGTTTCCTAGTTGCACATAGGCACCTTTAGTTGACAGGCCAATGAATGACCACTTCAGAACCTGTTTTCAAGTTGCTCTATCCTTTATTCCTCATTGCAAGCATAATTTTATTTATCTATTCTTCCAATTTCATTAAAATATGATTGCAATTCATGTTTCAAAATTCTATATTTGTGTCCATACTAATTATTACACCTTAGATCTATTAATTTGGCAACATATACTTTTTGCTTGCTAAATCTCATCTGATATAGTTGGGCAACTTTGTATCAGGAGGCCTCTTGATATGTGGTTATATATGCAGGCAGGTTTGCTCCAACTAGAGATGGGAGGAAGAGGAATAATTGGGGACAAATGGTCACTTAGAATACTATGGTTCTGTGCAATTGGAAGCGCAATTGGTAGAAACTTTTATCCACATGTTATAGAATGTTGATTTTTTTCCTCCAGTATTCTAGAGATTTGCCCACACTGTAGTTTGGTTATTGTGTCAATCCATTTAAATGTGGTTGGCATTTGGCAAATGATTTCAGAAAAGTATAGTTGATTCAAAATCTATGTTAGTTTGTTTTTTTTTCTAATGTGTTATCTGTATAAACCTAAAAGTGAGTACAGAGTGTGTGAAAGGAGGGGAACAGGGTACCCACAGACGGGCTCCGCCCAAAAAATAGGCGCCCAAAAAATAGGCAACCCACATACAGGTGCCCTGTACAGAAACTCTCATCGATCACAAATGCTTTACACGAATTGGATCACTAAGGGGTCAATTTCAGTCTATGATAGGAAACGGAGCAGAATAGTCCCCTAGGGTGACTTAAATTGGCATGAGACAGTTGCAGCTGCCATTGTGAGCCAATCAGCCTCACCATTTGCTTCTCTCCAAATGTCATCCCAAGAGATTTGTAGGTTTCTGGTGGTTTTACAGATCTCCTCGAATATGCTGTTGAGCCTCCAAGGCCAAGGGGCACTGCCTGAAGCCCAGACTATAACACAGTAAGAGTCGCCTTCGTTGGTAACTGACAGCCCCCAGCTAGTGTCTAATTTCCTGAGGCCTTCCCGGAGGGCAGAGGCCTCTGCAACAGTTGAATCTGCGATGCCAATGAAAAGGAGCAAAGGGTATTGCTGTTGTGGTCGTGGAACAATCCACTTATTCTTGCAAGTCGAGGATTTCCAAGAGAACACCCGTCAAAGTTAAGATTGATATGGCCTGCTTCAGGTGGTCTCTAGAGGTAAGAGCGCGGGGGCCTCTGAGGATTGAAGGCAAGAATTGAAGTCCAACTGTGTAGAAAATCAGAGTGGCAAAGATTTCTGAAATATATGTGGTGGCCGGCCCAGAAAATGACTGCAGCTCTGATCTTTTATACTAGTGCATCCAACGAAGATATTTGGCTATGAAATATCCTGGCATTTCTTTCAGTTCAGATTGTCCAAAGAGTGGCTACGAAATATCCTGGCTATGAAATATCTATGTAAATTTGTTATTTTGATAATGATTGACTGCTTAAAGTTGTTTCTTAAAAAAAGGAGGCTTGTGTGATGCTTCTTCTGGAACAGCACCGGTGCCCCGAACGGTGCGTGCGTGCCTTCGAGGGCCGGCATCGATCAGTTCCTTGAGTAGCTTCCTTAGCTCCAATAGTTCAGGAGGAGCCATTTTCAGGCACAAAGACTGGAGGCTTAGCCCAGCTCCCGGCTCTTGTGCTCTTTAGAGGTGCGATTGGTCTTCCCATCGCCTCTGTTGGAGTAGGTTTAGAAGTGGTTGCTTAACAAAAATCCAATTCAAAAGGACACAGGGATATGATCATCAAGAAAAAGAGTCGAGGGTTTCAGAGTGCTGAGGGTATCTTCCACCATTCTGTTGGTCTTTTAATAATATATTTTTGTTAATAGACACCGAAAGATCTATTATCTTTGCAAGCATCATATCCAACCTCAATGAGAAAGGTCCCTCTCCTTACCAATCTTATTCCTTAATTAGATCATGCTCGAGGAAGTGATGTATGAAATGACTGGAGGAGTTTGTGGTGCACCTGCCACAGTCTGAGCTTTGCCCCATGAGGATTTTGATACCAGTTAGGCCTACATAAGATATCATCATTCTCCCTTGATAATTTTGAAGAATGCCCTTAAAAACCTGCAGATCCAGTTTTCTCTTGAGAGTTCCCCGGGAAATTAAGCTTCAATTTTGGAAATTGCAACCCCTGTGAATGCAAGTTCTCTCCCACTGGCAGAATTGGGTATATGAGTGCCTAATAAACTGGGTACGAGGAGCCTAGAAGTTAGTTATGAGATATGCCAGTCTTCAAGCATATAGTTAATGCTAATAAGGTCGTAAAATCCTTGCCAATTGACTCCCATCTAATCATGTGGTAAAATCCTTGCCAGTTGAGGGGCCCACTCCCATCTACATCAATTTCAATTTCTTTTACACACTCTACATCCAACCCCACATCCCCTTAACCTCCCCAAGCATCACCACCACCAATCTTCTATCTCAAAATGTAAAAAAATACAGTTCAAAGATGTGTATTTCTAGAAAAGATCATTCTCTAGATTTTTTTATAAGGGATGCATCCCATACATCATATATTCTGTGCAGGTTATCCCTACATGTACGCTTTTAACTTCCATGCTAATGTGTACATGACATAACCTCTTAGAAAATCCTCAAGTCTCATCTCAACACTTGTCAGTGATCCAATTTGACATGGGTTGACATATTTTTTGCCTCTCATTTTTTATCTTGTATCTTTGTACCGATAAATTCTGCCAATAGTCATTGACTTGAATCTTGTGTAGGCCTCTGGATGGTTGGTGTTGAGAGACAGACACAAAATATGGAACGCAATATGGCTCAAAGTTTAAGGGATTTGGATTCAGCTGCAGATGGGCAATCCGATGGCGAGGAAGTTTAAAAGAAAACGATTATTATGAGCAGGATATCAAGCAGTTTTTTCTATTCTGCCAATTTTGACTGAGGGCAGTCTTCGTCCTCTTTTGTTTGGAACGTGCCTTTCATGTATTGTTGTGTCTTAGGCAGGAAATCAATAATAAGCTGTTGAAAATGAATAACTCTGTATCTTGTCATCACCCTTTTGAATTTAGTATCTACTCTCTATGCTTAATCCTGCTTCCCTGGGAATGCCGATCCCCATCAGAAGAGAATTCAATCTTATCAGTTTGGCATTGTCATAATCCTTTGCATGTGGACGTGTTCTTACTATGTTTAGTTTTAGCACATTATGTGCACTCATTCATCACACTTGGTGTGTTTGTATAACTGTTGAGATTTGTTTATGCTATGTTTATGGTGCTTAGTGTTGTGTTTTTTATGGTCTCAAGGAGAGGTCTATTCTTTATTGTTTGACTTTTCCTGACAGAATCAAATTTCAAGATTTGAATTGCAGTGTCCTTTGAAAAAAGGCTTGAACTGCAGAGATTTATTTGTCTCCCAGATGATCAACCAAGTGCTGGGAGTTGCTCAAACAATTGCTGAGCACCTCCAAAAATGTGCATGTATGAAATCACTGAAGCAAATCCATGCTCAAATTTTCCGACATGGACTCATCCGAGATAACTTATTGGCAGTGAAGCTTGTGGCTTTCTGCAGCAAAGCTTCGGGTGATATAGATTATGCTCGCCTGGTATTCAATTGGACTATTGATACTGCAAATGTCTTCCTCTGGACTGCCATGATAACAGGTTATGCCAAGAATCAATCTCAAGTTACCAAGGAAGCCATTATGTTATATAAGCAGATGCACCAGCATGGTGTCCCACCAAACAGCTTTACTTTCTCATCTTCTCTCAAAGCTTGCTCCTTTTTAGTGGCCTCAAATGAAGGGAGACAAATCCAATCACAGGCTTTTAAATTGGGGCTCGATGCTGACATATATGTACAGACTACCCTTGTTGATATGTATGCCAAATTTGGTTGCATTGAAGCAGCTCGTCAACTCTTCGACTCAATGCAGGAAAGAAACTTGGTTGTGTGGAATGCCATGCTTGTGGGTTATTCCAAGTCTGGTTGGGTTGCGGCGGCACGTGCATTGTTTGACGAGATGCCTGAGAGGGATTCTATTTCATGGACTGCTATGATCACTGGTTATACTAATCGGGGAGATATGTGGGCTGCACAAGCTCTCTTTGATCAGATGTCAAATAGAGAAGTAGTAACATCTTGGAATGCTTTGATTGCTGGGTATTCTCATTGCGGGGAGTTGATTGAAGCCCTAGGGTTATTTGATTTGATGCTGGCCGAGAATGTGAAACCCAATCAGGTAACAATGGCTATCGTGATATCAGTATGTGGTCAATTGGGAGCTCTGGTTAGGGCAAGGTGGGTGCATGAATACGTGAAAGCAAGTGGGCTGGAGATGAATGTTTATGTTTACAATTCCTTGATCGATATGTATGGCAAATGTGGGAGTCTTGATGAGGCTTACAAGGTGTTTTGTGAAATACCCATGAAGGATACAGTATCCTACAATGCAATGATTGTGGGGTTAGCCAACCATGGGTATGGCAACGATGCCCTTAAGCTTTTCTTGGAGTTACAGAACATCGGATTGTGGCCCGATAGGATCACCTTCATTGGTGTTTTAACTGCTTGTAGCCATACTGGATTGGTGAGAGAGGGTCGAGAATATTTCGAATGCATGACCAAGGTTTACGAGATTGAGCCCTCTGTCGATCACTATGCTTGCATGGTTGATCTTCTCGGGCGTGCAGGGTGTGTGGAGGAGGCTCACAAGGTGGTGGAGGGGATGGCAGTGGTGCCGCATGCAGGTGTATGGGGAGCTCTGCTTAGTGCATGCGGGATCCATGGTAATTTGGAAGTAGCTGAAATTGCTGCAAAGAACCTTTTCGAAATAGAACCTGGCAATCCAGGTAACTACGTATTGCTATCCAACATCTATGCGAGAGCGAGGAGGTGGGATGATGTTGCAAAGGTGAGGAGGTTGATGAGAGGTAAGGGAGTAGCTAAAACAGCAGGGTGCAGTTGGATTGAGGTGAATAATGAAGTATATAAATTTCTCATTGGAGATACCACTCACCCTATATCCCATTATATTTATTCCACGTTGAGGCAACTTTCTCTGCACTTGATGTTTGTTGGTTATGAATCGGATTTTGGCTCCAAAGCACATGATTACCTTTCTTGAATGATCTGAGTTGTTCATGATGTTTGGATGAATTGCTAATTGTTTTCTATTACATTCCATTGATTTGCGATGCTCGTGGAGTCTGCCAAAAAATGGGGAACACCCTACGGCTGGTCCTTGAAATGTAAGTGTTTTCTGCACCAGGCTACTTTAGAGCTGAAAACATATTTACAGGGTAAAGCACTGATTCTCTTCTGGTTGAAGAGTCCATCAACTGGTTTGAAACATTTGAACAGGATCCATGCACAAATCCTCACCAATGGATTGCACCAGGACAATTTCCTAGTGGCCATGCTGGTGACCAAACTCATAGCAGTCTACAAAGAGGACTACGCTCGATTGGTTTTCATCCAGGTAGACCACCCTAATGAATTTCTATGGACTTCCATGATCCGAGGATATTCAAGCAAAGGCCCTTTCAGAGAAGCAACTTTGCTTTATAAACAAATGCTCCACAAGTGCGTCTCACCCAATAATTTCACCTTCCCTTTTATTATCAAATCTTGTGCCACTCTGCATTCTTTAGCAGAAGGGGAACAGGCCCATTGCCACATTGTAAAGCTTGGATTTGAATCCAACATTTTTGTACAAACATCACTCCTCAATATGTATTCGAAGTGCCAGAGGGTTGGGATTGCACAGCAATTGTTCGATTTGATGACTGAAAAGAATGTGGTTTCGTGGACCACCATGATTGCAGCTTACAGTAAGCAAGGTCAGGTGCTGTTGGCATGGAAACTCTTCAGTGAGATGCCTGAGAGAAATGTTGCTTCATGGAATGCAATGATTGATGGGTTTATTCGATCTGGAGATGTGGGCCATGCCAGACAACTCTTTGACAGGATGCCCCTAAAAAACTCGATCTCTTGGACCACTATGATTAACGGTTACTCAAAGGCCAGAGACTTGATTAGTGCGAGGGCTCTCTTTGATCAAATGGGTGAGAAAGAAGTGATTGCATGGACCACTATGATTTCTGGTTATGCTCAAAATGGTGAACCGGGTGAAGCAATCAAGCTTTTCAAGATGATGCAGGCTTCAGGTGTGAAGCCCGACGAGGTCACAATGTTGAATGTCCTTTCTGCTTGTGCTCAATCAGGGCGTATTGAGCTAAGCGAATGGATATACAATTGTGCCAAAAGGTATGGATTTGGGTCCAGTGTTCAGGTACTCAACTGTGTTATAATCATGTTCTCTGAATGTGGAGCCATTGAAATTGCCTACAGAATGTTTCGGTCCATGCCCCATAGAGACGTTGTGTCCTACAACTCCATGATCATGGGGTTTGCATCACATGGCCATGCCAAATTTACATTTGCATTGTTATCCATGATGGTGGTTTATGGGGTGGCACCAAATAGCATAACCCTTACTGGTTTGCTAACTGCTTGTGCTCGTACACAGCTGGTGAATGAGGGTTTATGGTTTTTCAAGTTGATGCTCCTCAACAAGATGGGTGATGATGTCAATTCTATGGCCGAGCACTATGCATGCATGGTTGATCTCTTGGGCCGTGCAGGCCACTTGGATGAAGCCCATGAGCTCATTGAGCATATGGGCATTGAGCATAAGAAGGCTAGCGCATGGGGTGCTCTTTTAGGGGCGTGTAAGCTACAGGGAAACGTTGGTTTGGCTGAGGTTGTGGCCAAGCAATTATTTGACTTGGAGCCTGAGAATCCAGGAAATTATGCGCTCCTTGCGAATATATATGCGGAGGCGAGCATGTGGGATGAGGCGACTACGGTGCGAGAGATGATGAAACAAAGGCAAGTGACCAAACCAGTAGGAAGTAGCCGAGTTGAAATGGGCTTCACTGGTGATCTTTGATATGAAGGTTTATGATGCTTTGTGATTTATCCAGCTTTTCATCTCTGTCATGTTGGTGGGCATATATTTTTCTGAGGAGACGACGTTTGTGCAACTTGTGTCAGGTATTTTGGGTAGCACATCTTGTTTTGACCCAAAACGTGGATTACTGGTGGCATCCTGTCTGCCTATTCCATGTGGGCTTTGCTTTTTCTTCTCAATTATGGCATAATTTTCATTCTCTAACTTTGATGGGAAAAAGGTGTCTAGTCTAAATGTATGTGTGTGTGTGGAATTCCCCACCGCTAAATTGAGCCACATTTCAAAAAAAAAAGTACAATGGATCTTCTCAAATCTCTTTGGGCCATCATTAATTTAATCGAGTGCAAGAGAAGCATAACCAACATGAAGTTTCACAGATCCAGTTAATCACAAAACCCCAAACCATGAAAATCTGTGTCCATTAACTGCTGCTTCTTTTTCTTTTTGTCTTCACATAACAAACTCCTCCACAGTAACAAAGAAAACAAAGTGACCTGGTACTAAGGTACCTTCCTATGATATCTTGCTATGTGGTTAACTTGTTCCCCTCTCCCCAATTTTGATTTTCATGCTCTTTGGTTGCCGGAGTTCATTAACTGCCTAAAAAGCGGGGCAAAATTTTGGTTCTTCCTAGCTCACTTTTAGGTGTAAGACAACGCCCTTACGTTTGGAGTAGGGGGTGTTTCTTTTTTATTTTTGGAAAAGTATACAATGCGATCATTTATCTTTTGTACCGTGTGGTCATAATTAATCTTGACCTTTAGATGTGAAATTGAGTGGTTGCTTTTATTCCTCCATCGACCAATCAAAAAATTCAAAAAATTTTTTTTTTTTCGAACTTTGTAACACTTGAGTTATTGAATTTCACATCGGATGGTTATAAGTTATTGTGGCCTCTATGTACAATGGTCTCATTATATACGATCTCATTTGTCTTTATCACAAGTTTGAGCATGAGATTAAACCGGCAAGTTTTGCTTCAAAAGAAAACGAAGTACTATCACTCACTAAAGGGAGAATTGGGTTTTGGTGAGATGGGTTGAGAAAGTTTTCAAGTTTCTTTCACCACTGCGCAAATAAATCAGAAAGGAAAATTTCCACTTGAGGTGTCTCCATCCTTAAAGCTCTTCATTGATTTTTATCATTCACCGAACTGGGTACAACAATTTAAGGCTCCAAATAAACTCCCTCTCTCTCTCTCTCACCTAATTTCTGGGCAGTTGGCTCTATCTCTTCTTTTTCTCTTCCTCAACCACAAATGAATGGAATAACTACTCTCACACAGTTTCAGAAACCCTATCTCTCTCTCTCTCTCTCTCTCTCAAAGAGTGATATTTTTGGTGGGGCTTTGTCCCAACAGCTTGCACGTGTTTTGCGCCTGTGACCCTGCAACAATGGCAGACCATTGGATGGGGCATATCCCAATAACTTTCCGCACTCAAAACAATGTCATACGAGATCTTAGAGCAAACAATCTCGAGATTGCATATACTTTAAATTGAAACGCTTGTACGGACTTATGAAAAAAAATACATTAACTGATTTTTTATTAAACAACTGCAAGTTAGCTACCAAAAATCTTAGGATTGATGCTAATTGTTTTTGTTAGGCATGGTTAATGCTATTGTTATCTCACTTCCACTCATTCAATTAAGATATGAGAGGATTAGACAACTATATACTTCCAAACAGGTATAAATTATTCTTCATCACAAAACTTTTTCTCAACTAATTGTGATCCCTCTAATATTAATATATATATATATATTTGATGTTCAAATAGGACAATACTAAGGTTTAGGTCTTTGGGATGGGAAAGGGTTGCTCCACCGTCCATCTTGGGCCTCTTAATACAAGGTGTAAAGAGACAAGATAGAAGTAGGCTCCACGTGTGCGTCTCACGTGGGATGCTTGGAAAAGCTAATGCGTTGGGGCCAAGGGAACTTCATTTTCATTATATAAAAAAACAAAAAACATATCATAAGATATCTTATTATTATTCCCGAATTTTGTACCGTTTTCGTTGCGTGCAACATTTTTGTCTACACCTTCGAAATTTAAATGCGTGATTTCATCTTCAAGCAAGAGCATAATCATATCATATCAATATTTTGACTTTCCTCTCCCATTGGTTCTTTGGATTTTAGTTGTAGTCCCTTTGTGAGTGCCTTTTGTTACAACTATTTTTCGTCAAATATGCCCCTCAACAACCCCAGAATAGAAAGCCGTAACAGTCTTAGCAGAATGTCCATTTGCTCCTTTGGGTGTAGAATGTACAATTCTATATACGAGTATTTTAGGACTCAATTTTTTATATATGCTTTTTATGTTCCAGAAAAAATATCGAAGAAAGATTCGACTTTTAGTTTAAACTTTTAAAAAAACTCAATAATTATTCTTTTTAAAAACTCTCTAGTTAAGGTCTTGGCTTTCATTTTCACCCAACAGATTCAAAAGTCACTGATGATTTAAAAAAAAGAGAAAAAAGGTAGGGGTTCGTCATCCTCATTGAATTATCTATAATAAAATGTAAAGAAAACGTAATTCGTAAAAAAGGTACAACCCGAACCAAATTGCACCTCCTAACCGGTGTTATATTAGATCTACAATGCACATAGCCAGCCCACTTAAGTCTATTTTCTTTCGTCTTATCATCTATTGAGGCCACGCCTAAATTCCCTTGCATGTATTCATATTCTCAATTCGATTTTTATTGTCACGCCACTAATTTATTTCAACATTCTCATCTTAGCTACCATCATCCTATAGATATGTTGTTTCTTGACTGTCCAAAATTTTATCTCATTGAGCATGGATGGTCTTACAATCGTCCTATAAAACTTTTTCTTCAGTCTCAATGGTATGCGACGAGTACATAAAACTCCGGATGCATATATTCACTTCTCCAATCAACTCTACTTCAATATGCGGTATATTTCCTAATCTCTCAATTCTTCTAGATTATTGACTCTAAATATATGAAAATATTTTTAAATATCAAAAAAAAAAAAAAATTTAAAATTTCTTTAAATTTATTTGCCACCTTTGATTTGTACTCCCTGGACACGTTTAGTTCTGGCCATATATTCATACAAGGCAATCTTCTTCTTGTTGGTCCCTACTTTGATTAGTCTCCATATGAGATAGACATTATATTTTATGTCGGAGGCACACACAGTCTTCATCAAGAGAGAGAGACAGAGAGAAAGAGAGAGATCGTATTTATCATTTTTACAGTCAAATTTAAAAACCTGAGGGCTTTGGTATACCATCTTTTGTACGTGTCAAGGGCCTCGTTAACTTTTCAAAAGCTAAGGGCTTTTTCATACCGTACCATCTTGGGAGAGAGAGGGAGGTTTTAACTTTCAACAACAAACGGCTTTTTTATTGATTTTGAAAGGAAAAACTTTATAATAATGTATTAGTAAGGTGCATGTTTTTATGTTGAAAAAACCTTCAAATGGATCATTTCAACTTTGAGATTCATAGATATAAAACAAAAAATATTTTTAATCTTAAAAATGGTTCATCTTTTAACACAATATCTGGAACATCCATTTAAAATATTTTTAAATATTCAGAGATCTTCGAAACGTTAAATTAGGGCAACCATAGATTTCAAGGTGGCACTCAAACTGCATTTGCATTTTCGGCACGGCAGAGGTGCACCTTTCAAGTATAAGTTTGACACGTTAAACGAACCTCGCCTTTTTTTTAATTTTAATTTTCTTTCCACTGAAAAGATTGCCCGTATTCTTGTAATTAATCGTCGACATAGAATCTTATTTTGAATTAAACACAATTTAATTAAGAATCATAAGTGATATGTGCTCCCTCGTTAATAATGGAATTAATTAATTGGGGAGCAATGAAAGCATGAGCAAGTGAAGAAGGTCAGGTCAGGTGAGGTTCGTGCCTTTGACCTTTAATGGAATTTTTGATTTGATGTGACACACCTACCCTACCCTACACAAACTAAACTATGAGGAAAGTGACACCACCACCACCATACACGTGTTGAGTTGGGATTAAACCCTAGGGACATTATGGTCATTATAAAGAAGCTGGGACGTGGTATCATTCCTATCCTTTTGTTGGAAGAGTCAATGAACGACCAAATGGCCCACAAATTGACCTACACCCCTTTTATCTACCCTAAACCACCCTTCCCTTTTAACAAATAGAAGACCTCTCTCATTTGATATTTGAGAAAAGAGTGTGCTTTGTATGAGGCCGAGGCCCTCAACAGTCAAGGAAGGCACACCTTCAAATAGTGCCGGAATATTAGTGTATGAGATCTGAAATTTTAATTTCCATTTCTAATTATCAAAATTAGAGGTTAAAAAATAGTGTGTGTAGATGTATGAATACTTGAAAATTGACAGTATAGATCATAGATGCACAATTTCGATGATTGAATTGAGTTTTTTTTAGCATAGAACCAACCTCTTCTAGTGAATTTTTTAAATGTGTCTCAACTTTATTGCTTGGAGCCCGACCTTTATATAATTTTTTCCCTTGAAAAGAAAAAAAAAGGTCAGTTGGTGCTAATTCATTTTCATGGGGAGAAAAGGAAGGCAATAGGTTTTTTTTTTTTTCCCCATAATACGTCATGGTTTTACCTTTTTTCCCTTGGATTCTTCTTGGGTTTTGTGTGTACTTTTCGGTTTTTCAATCGATTGGCTTCTCTTAACCACTTGTATTTTGTTTAGAGGCTTCAAAGAGAAAGGCACAAGCTTAGGAAATTCCACATTTTGGCAGCTTGTTACTGTTTCATTCATCTTTTGTTATGTTTAGAAAAGGAGTGTTCACCTCAATGAAAGCATCTCTCTTGTAATTCAATACAAACATTTTCCTTGTTAAACCACCAAAATTGCATCAAAATTAAAGGAAAAGAAAAAGAGAGAGAATCCATCTTTTAATTTGATTGAAGGAAGCAAGAGAGCTCCCAAGAATCTCTCTCTTCTTATTATATAGTATTGCTACTTGCATTATAACACCAATTCATAAAACTATAAAGGAACATTGGTACTCATAAATTTCTTTGGTTTGCTTGTATAACATCAAAAAACAACATATTTTATTTTTAAACATTGAGAAAAAAAGAGAGAGAGAGTATAGCTTACTCTTGCGGGAGCACCTTGTATATTTACTCCTTCAGGATTTATTTCCTGTGAGAGTTTGTAATCCGTTTTAAAATAAGCAAAAATTAGTGATTTGAACTATTTATCATCTTACACATAAATTTTTATGTGATTTTCTATTTTCTACCATTCTTTTGATCGATTTTCAAATAGATGTATCAAAACGGATTTTGAAATTTATCAAATACACCTAGAGGAAAATGTTAAAAGTTTAAGATCAATCAAATATTATTTTGACAAGCGAAAAAAAAAAAAGTGGTTCTCCAATTCCTAAAATGAACACTTAGATATGGCTACAGAAAGCCTCCCATCAAAGGATAATTAAGATGGTGTTTTATTAAGGGAGATTGAACAAATCATGTGCTCCTGCGGGACCAAACAATCTCTTAGCTTTGAAAAATTTAAAAAGAGAAAAACTTTTTGAACGGAGCTTTCTTCTCCTTTACCCACTTTCATCAAATGGGAGAATATGCAGGGACCCACGTAACCCCAAAATGAATCAAATAGCAAAGGATACTACACTGTAGTAATGTGAATCCGTTGTCCGGCCGGTTACTCGAAAAATCCGGTGATCTGTCTTTCCCGTTTACTTGTTCAGTGACAGGGAGTTTTCTATCATTTTCCATGTAATCAAATAATAATTAATAATTACTTCCTCTCTCTCTCCTCTTTATTTTCAGTTTCACTCACCCATTATGGTGTCTCTCTCTCTACATCACGGGGATGGAACGAAGCCTCTGGTTTCCTGTCCTGCGTCTATTATTTTAGGGTTATCCGTCCAGCATTAAACATGCAGCCTCACTTCCCGCTCCTCGCCTGTCAAGTTTAGCTTCATGTTATTTATTGCCGGCGAGAGAGAGAGAGAGAGGTTGCAGGGTTGAATGTAGAGAGAGAGAGAGAGAGAGAGGTGCATGGGTAATCTAATTTATTGGTAGAGAGATAGTGAGAGAGTTTGTAGGGTTTGGTGTAGAGAGAGATGGGATCATGTCTATCAAGAGAGGGGAGGAGGAGGGGCTTTGGATCACTGCCTTGTTCATCATCACCATCTTCTGCTGTTGGCAGCATCTCTAGGCGCCGCCGCAAGAAGAGAGGGGCTCCATCTTCTATTGGAGAATGGCCCCTGAATTCGGCCGCGGCCGCTGCGAAGCAGGAAGCCGAGCTTCAAGGGCTCCCGGGGAGGATCTTTGTGAACGGGTCGACTGATTTTGCGTGTTTGCATACACAGCAGGGAAGGAAAGGGACTAATCAGGACGCCATGCTCATTTGGGAGGTCTGTTCTCTCGTGCCCTCTCCGCATTTCTCCTTTCACCGAATCATTTCATGTTTCTCCATTTTATTGATTTGATGGGATTGCCGGGTCTAGTTATCGAATGTTCCGTGTAAATTTTGCTTGATCAGTGTCCTGATTTATTCTTTCGTGATGGATATTGGGTTTTTATGTTGGGGTTTGCATGCTCTAGTTTCAAAGATGTGTAAATGATATCAGAGGAGTTGGGTAAATGTGCAGCTGTAGTATTTCTGATGTTATTGTTTCTTTTTTTTGGCAATTGGCTATAGCAGTAGGCGGACTCAATAACAGTTTTGATCTTTGTTAGCATATCTAGTCTGAGCTGTTAGAAAGAAACAGTCTGTTTGTCTTCTAAAAAGGGCAATAAAGAAGAAGAACGAAACAGAGGCTTTCTCCTTCCTTTCATTAGTGCTATTTGTTTCTGAAATAGGGGTGATTGAAAATTCGTCATGAAGCTTTGAAGAGTTCATAATTGCAAACTTTGTACTTTTAATTCTTCAAATCATGCCTTTTTCCTTTTTCTTTTTTTTGCTATGCGAGCGGTGGTCTGTGCTGGTCGCTCACTGATTATGTTAATATGGAAGAAAATAAACTGGAGGTTAGATAGACCTCCTGTATACAATATTTATGAAGATCCTCAATACAAGTGTTGTTTCTATATACAAATCACCTGGAAAGAGTGCATAGATTCTCACTACAAGTATCTCGCTGTATACAAAATCATGTGGAAGAGTATATGAAAGATCACTGTTCTCATCATCAATAGTGTTAATGTATATTGTTGTTTGCTTTTGGTATCACCATCATCATCATCATCTTTTTAATAAGATTTTTTCTTTTGCAGCGGGGATACAAAAAATGATTTTTGTATTTATTTATTTATTTTTAAATGGCATGCATGGATACAATGGTACTCCTTGAGAGCTTGATGCAAGCTTGACGAACTGAGAATTGGACCTGATAATTGGATCTTGTTGACCTTCTCTACTGATGAGTTGTAGCCATCTGATGGGGAATTTCTAGGCATTGATACCATTGCCATTTGGAGCAGTGGTAGTTCTTCTGTGGGAGTGCACTCTATTGTGAGGTCGGGCATTTGGAAAGTCCTTGAAGATAATTCATATCCCACTTGAATCTTGTCATCATGAATAGGAATATCATATGTTCTCCCACCTTGTTCTCCTATTTTTCTTTCTCAAAAATAAAAAAATATAAAAAGCAGTTGTTATTCTATCCTCTCTCCTTATTCCAAATGCTCATTTAGACTGAGAACTGTGCTGCTTAGAAAATGTTCTCTTCCTACCTTAGGAAGTCAGACACACTCTTTCGTAATCATGAAATGCTTGTGTTTGCTGAAATTAATCAACTTTTACACTTTGATGAAGATAAGTTTTGCTTTGTAGTTGAAGTTGTAACTATTATGATTTTGTTCACATGTTTGTTGATATAATGAGACACTGAGAGGGACGCGTGTGACTTCTACTATGTGCATTATGTGTGAGAAGTAGCTGTAGCAACGAGTATTGGCCTTTAATATCTGGCTTGTTTATAATTAGCATTGATTCGTGAGTATGTGGCCATTTGTGCTCTATTGCTTCTTGAAATTGATTTTATCCAGAGACACTGGAGTCACAGTGACTTCTAGTATGTGAATTATGTGTGAGAAAGCAGCTATAGCAACAAATATTGACCTTTAATATCTGGTTTGTTTATAATTAGCATTGATTCGTGAGTATGTGACCATTTGTGCTCTATCGCTTCTTGAAATTGATTTTATCCAAAGACACTTGAGTCACAGCTAGTCATTTGTCATTTTTATTATTAGTAGCTGCTGCCACATCTTTTGTATTATCCTTCAGAATGGATCATGTGGATAATTATTGCCGCAATTGAGATGTCAATGTTTCACATCTGGTTGTACTTTTTCTTGTATGTCGGACCTTGTGTAACATATTCATTGGGTGCAGAAGTCGCTATTGGAGGCTCCATAAATCTAATGGCTAATATGTTGCAGTTGGTTTGTTATTGTTTCTTTATGTTGGATTTTGTTTTAGGTGCCCTCCTGCTTGCAATGATGCCTTCATGTGCTGGCAGTGTTCTTGGATGGCGTGAAACTTTGTAGCTAGGTCTGATATCTAAAAAACAATGGAGCTTTGTTGCTAGGTTTCTTGTGATAGAGGGTGATTACTTGGCTTGAGGTAGTGGAAAACCATCTTGGGGGTAAAAGGAGTTTATTTATTTGTCCCTTCGGTTTTTTTTTGTTCTGGGGAGAGGGGGTGTGCTTCATTTCGCAGGCAGTAGTTCCCGTTCATAATGAAGCCAACGAATTGGCTTATGGTCTAACCAGCAAGAATGCGGACAGTGCAGGGATTTCTTATGTACCCCCTCTTTTTCGTGGGGGAATGGGGCAATGGGCTGGGGAGTTTGATGTCTCAGATAACTTACATTCTGTCCATGCAGGTGGGTGCTCTGCAGCTCTAGGTTACTTTTGATTATATTAATGTGAAAACAGATTAGCCAGAGAAAACTATATAATCGATAGGTCAACGGGCTACTTAACAATTGGCAGTTGAGTAGTATCTCAGAGATTGCGAGTAATTTTATTTTTCACATTTGGCATAATTGTGACTTGTAATCTAAAACATGGAAAATTTTTCTATTGTCAGTTACACAGGAACCCACCTGGCCAAATCTGGCTAGGGAGAGGAGACATGCATGATTATTGATAGTTGAGAAAAGCAGTAGATGGGCTTGTTGGCGGCATTTGGGCTTTTGGATGTGATTTTTCCTACTTTTTTTTTTTCCCTGATGACATGTTTATGTTGGAGCACAACTGATCCTTTTTAGTATATCTTTCACAATCCATGATGTTGGAAACCTTAATATGTATGTGAGACCTGGTTTGCTGTAGTAAATTGAAATTGGTTGTTATATTCATCAGAAACGACTTGAAGTTGCCAAGATTTCCATAGAATCTTTTCCAAATTAAGATAACCAAAGATCTACTACAAAGTTGTGGTTTTACTTGTTTACGATCTGCTGTAACTTAGTTGTTGTAGTTCAGTGCATGCCTCTTTATATGGAACCATTGAAATATTAAAAAAATACAAATATCTGCCAAATGCCTGTGGTTCACTAAAAGATATTTTATTTTATTTTCTTTTCTATTATTATTATTATTATTTTTTCTTTTGGGTCCTGTTTCATTCACTGTCAAATATTTTCACACCATATTCTGCATTGGTGACCCAGTTCTGCTTCTTACCAGTGAAAGAAAAATCATTCATGTTCCTATCGTCTATTCATGTTAATTGGCAATAGCTCAGTCGCTGCCATCATTACTTACTGGTATAATGTCTTGATCTCTAGAAAACCTTATGTAAATGCCATTTTCATGCCAAATGAGAATGCCTGGTTTTGATACCAAATAGTCTGCATAGATTCATTTTCTTGTGGCACTGAACTAAATAGGCTGTGTAATTATGCCCCTGTATCTTGTGATGTGTTTTTCAGAAGATTAAGCACTAGAATTTGTGTGAAACATGTTTCTGCTTTAGTTTCTCACTATTTTCCTGACCAGATATATATACGGCCTATGGCTGATTAAATTACTATATACCTCATGGAATGACTCTTCCTCTGGGGTTCATCACATCAGAATTTTGGTTCAAGAAATGATACCGTCTTCTGTGGAGTCTTTGATGGCCATGGTCCCTATGGCCATATGGTGGCCAAGAAGGTAAGGGACTCTCTCCCTCTGAAGCTGAGCAAGCACTGGGATGCCAATTTGGGTATTCAAAATGGCCTTCACGAAAATGGGAGTCTGAATGGAAGCATGAATTCAGAGGAAACTGCATCCATTGGCATGGATGAAGATCTGGGCGACTCCATAGATGCAGATGAATATGAGAAGCTCCCAGAGATACACATGACATTAAGACAGTCCTTTTTAAAGGCTTTCAAGGTTATGGACAAGGAATTGAAATTGCATCCGACAATTGATTGCTTCTGCAGTGGAACAACAGCCGTTACCTTAGTAAAACAGGTGATAATTTTAAAGTTTTAAACCACCTCTCAGAGCTAACACCCCCCACCCCCAAAAAAAAAAAATACCAAAAAGGAAAAAAATTATTGTTGTATCAACTTAATAGGACCTGCCGTTACTAGATTAGACCTGTCGACTGACTTGCAACCCGTTACTTCCATTTCAGGGTCAGGATCTTGTAATTGGAAATGTTGGGGACTCCAGAGCAATTCTTGGTACCAGAGATCAGGATGACTCCTTGATTGCAGTGCAACTGACTGTGGACTTGAAGCCAAATCTCCCAAGTATGCTTTTTTGTATTTTCTCTCTCTTATCACTTCGATTCATTTTCCCACTAACCACTTTGTGAAGTTTTACCTTACCATCAATTAGGACAGGCCTTCCTGGCTCATCGTGTGGCCCAATGAATTCTGGATGTTTCTTCAGGAATCTATATTAGATGTTTTGCTGAGAACTCCTCTATATTTCATTGGGACACCACATATTTGATAAAGCTTAAAGCCTGAATTAAGTACCAAATCATTAGACCGTGAAGCTAATGCTATTGAATGGACAATAAATCCTCTCGGGTGGTGGTCAATTCTTTAGTTGATTGTGAGATTCCTTGGTAGATGACTTGAGTTTATTGGAGTTCAAGGGTTAGACTTAAAATACTTAATGCTATTCCTGTACTGAAGCCTCCATTGTCTAACTTATCCTATGTTTGAGCCCATTGAGGTTGAAGACTGGATAGTCAATGCTTGCTTGAAACCCTAAAGTGTCATCAAACATTGATGTGACATTTGGTGGGCCTCTAAGCTGTAGCTTGATCACAAATGAATCATCAATGGCTCCCTTGCAATTGCATGGTTACTTGACTCAAATGATGGGGTGCTGCACATTGGTGCCGGTCTTTCAATCCCTTGAACCAATGGCTAATTTTGTTCTAAACGTGTTATATTGCTTCTATGATTGAAGTCACCTCCTATTCTCGCTGATTTTCTCTTTCATCTTTTTTCTTTTATCCAGGGGAAGCAGAAAGGATCCAGCGCTGTAAAGGCAGGGTTTTTGCCTTGCAAGATGAACCTGAGGTTGCCCGTGTATGGTTGCCTAATAATGACTCACCTGGGTTAGCCATGGCTAGAGCCTTTGGTGATTTCTGTCTAAAAGATTTTGGCTTGATTTCAGTCCCAGATATATCGTACCATCGCATCACAGAGAGAGATGAATTCATTGTTCTGGCCACGGATGGGGTACTCCTCTCTCTCTCTCT